CCGGGCTCCCAAAATATTTTATTCATTTTTAAGTGACAGGTGGAGAGAGGAGATTTTCTGCACTCAGCCACCTGGATGCCCCACTAACTCTGAATGTTAACTAATGGAGTCTGACATGAGCTCCATTTAGCACCGGAGAGGGAGATAGTGAGCGTGTGAATATGTGAGAGTTTTACTAACTTTATTTAGTCCGAGAGAGAGAGAGAGAGAGAGAGAGAGAGAGGGGTTTGATAATTACCTAAAAAGCACTAATTGCAGTATAAACTTTATAAAACCACAAGATGAGAATGCGAGGTTGTGCTCGAAATTAACATCATAATGACCTCTGTGACATGAGGTGCAATAGTGAACCCCATACACAGGCCTTCCCGGAGGACCTCTACCTGCACTGACAGCCAATCGTTATTGAATCATTGTAGGCCTGTCTCACCTGAGAGCCATGTTACTGCTCGACAGTATCATGATAAAGACATTTTGGGACATAAACCTAAAAAACAAGCTGTCAAAGTATCTGTGTTTTTGTACCAACAGAAAACAGGAATGATTTAAAACCGATATTTGGTCTTGTTAAATACTCAATTTAACTTCAGATATTGAGAATGACTCAACTTTTCATCCACTAATATTCATTTTTTATATATTTCATGAACAGAAAAGAGGAGAAAAATTAGTATTTAGGACTTCACTTACAAAAAAACCTCTAATGTTGTTTGTAAGAAGTCTAATCCTTTCTAGCTGGAAGACTCCTCATCTGCAAAGCTGGATGGACTCATCATGGCAGCATCTCGGACTTCAAAAACAGACAGAAATGATGAGAATGACCAGAACATACAAGAAATAAATACATTTTGAAGTACACGTTGTAGTATTAAGCTGGAGACAAAGTGCCACAATGCTTAACCCTTAGAACTCCCAGCTATATTTTGTTATTTTTGTAAAAATCTATGTAGCAACTCGATCCTTTCAAGCACAGCAAATATATACGCATCTTTTTTTTTCAGGACAACCTCAGCTGTCAGTTTATGGGTGCAAAAATTCTGTAAAATGAATTTGACAGTAGATTCAGAACCATTAAAGTCAACCAAAAAACAAAAGCAGAAATCGATACCAACACTTTTTTTTTGCACAAAAAAAAAAAACACATAAATCTACAGTGACCAAGCCTTCTCTCACCTGCACATCATTCTGTTAAGTCTTGGCTATCAGGAGAAGAAATATTGGGATTGGAACAAACACACAACAGAAACTATTTACATATTTACACTAATTCTTCCAGTCGTTTTTTGCTGTTTAGAGATGTTTATGCCACTCCTTGAAGCAGTTCTTGTCTGGGATGAGACAGTGGGCCTCATCATACTGCTCATAATCTCTTCTCTGCTTGTTTCCAAACATTGAGGACCATCATTTCTTATTTTGCAGACAAGCAGGATACTTTCTTGTCTCTTGTTGATCTTTGGTTGCCTCTTATTGGACACTGCCATCAAGAGAACAATAGAAGAAGAATATGAGACCATGTAATTGGTCGAAAGTTTGACAGAAAAAACGTCATCAAAACAGGTCGTCAAACCCGGAAGACATTAGCAGCATTTAGCGATAGTGATTTTTTTTATCACAACAATATGAAAAATGATCACGTTTTCACCGGTATATCACTGCAGATTTACCATCAAACGTCTTTGATCAAACACCTATTTTTGTGGCTGGATTGTAAACCTTGTGGCAGGTGTAGAAATGCCTGGAAACCCTCCATAGCTCGCCAAAAGGGTAAGCTTTTAAGCACTTTTTATCCCATAGAGATACACGGTATAGTACCCGGGAAACTGTAGACAATATTAATGGTATCATGTGGGATCGCCAGTGATCCAACGGAGTTCTAAGTGTTAAAAAAGAAAACATATGAAGCTTATTTTGCAAGTAGGATCCCCTAGATTCCCCTACGAGAGTGTGGGCTCAGCCCTCAATGTTCCCATGTCCAAGAAACGCCCCTGTGCAGTCCTTTTTGTATCAACAACACTGACCCACCATGAATCCTTCACCCTCTGATCCACCATGAATCCTTCACTTATCATGAATCTGCAATGAAACCACCTACCTCCTTCCCTTTCTGCAATACTCACGGAGATGACAGTGTGAAGTTCTGGCAGGGGTTGAATCTTCAATGAAGAGCAGCAGCCACCCTGGAACAATGGTCAGGCCAAAGAGCGTCCACATCCTCAGCCAGCTCTCCTGCTCGGCTCATCCATCAAAACCCCTGTGAACTGTCACTCCTTTCAACCCTCCAGGGACGACACACATCTCCTGTCCTCTGATACTTTTCTTTTACTGTCAGCCCATTTTAACCTCACGCTGCAGCTCTGTCTCTCCTTCTTTTTTGTATTGGAGACAGAAATGAAAGAAACCAGAAGGGTACTGTTGACATTTTTGTCCATCACTCTGATGTTTACATAGTTTGCTGGGGCAGGTAACTCTTCTTATTACTTTATTTTAATCCAAAATTCACATTTGACTAATTTTTGATTATATCACTAAAAGGTAAAATCTCAGAGTAAACTGCCTGATACGATGAAAACCTTGAACTCTGGCACTCGAAATAAACCAATCAAACCTCACTTTGGCCCTTGTTTACAGCTTAATTCCATGGCAGTAAATATGCTGTTTAATACTGTTTATCCCTTTAATGAAAGCATGACATTTAGAAGATTTTAAAGCACATTCTGAGTAAATTTACTCAAAATAGTTCCAGCATTAACCTGGTTACATCAGCTAATAATTATGCATCATTTCGTCTGGTTTAAACTCCCAATTATTCCACTCACTCTGTTTCTTGCTGATAACACCCACTGGTCGATCTTGTTTGGTACCGTGATGCATGATGGTGTTTTTACTTTTTAAGTGTGTTCGGATGGATTGAGGTTGGTATGCTTTCCAGATTGCAAAATCTTCCAAAATGCTTAAATAATCACGACCATAACAGGTGTCGACACACTTGAGTGGGGGCTGGATTGGGAATTGAGCCGAGCTACAAGAACTGCAACTTGTTTACCTTTTCCCCAATACATAGAATATATATGTATTAAAAAACCCTTATATTTAAGTGGCAGAAAGATAATCTGGCCTCATAAATATTATGTTGGCTTCAATGTAGGATAACCTTGATCATAAAATGACTGATTTGAAAACATTTACTCAAACACAATGAATGACTTTTACAGTTAAACTATTCCATTTGTATGTAAATGAACCACCGACAGTATCAGAACATAAACCTGCTGTCTATATGATGGATGACGAGTCTGGTGGTGGGCACTCCTTCAATCTCTGTTACAGTTACTTCCTCAGGCATCTTCAGACATTACACTCTCTAACACTGCATTTCTATGATTTTTAACTGTTGTCTAATTAGTGCCGCGTTGATAACCATCTTAAAAAAACTTGTCATCGCTCAGCGACAGTTTTTGTTAACTTGTCCTACTTTTGTACAACTTTATTCACCATGTCTCTCCATCTGTCTTCCCCTTGGCTCCCGAGCAGTGAGTTGATGGCTGGTCTCAGTTATGAGGGGAACACTTGCTTTACTTGCCATCTGTTGTAAGAGATATTTCCACTTAATTATAAAACCCTGAATACAAGACACTCACTCTTTTTCAGATATACTATTTAAAGAGAATAAGCCCCACTTTAAATTTATATCAATACATTATCTTTGTAGCAAGACTGCTGTTATCTGAGTGCTCTCATACTGTGTTATTAAGGATAAAACATTTTAAAACGCAGTTACAACAGTGTTGCAATCACAGTCATCTATAATAATGAGGTCATCATTACATTTATGTTATTTAACGATGCTTTTATTCAACTTTTAATTATTACTTGTTGCAAAGTATATTTTTTAAAATATGACATGAAGACAAATGCTCTCTCGACTGTCCTCAAAGGAAGATTATTTAACTTTTGACGAGTTCACATGCAATTTCAGAGTCTCTATTCTGTATTTAAAAGTAGCTCAAAAATTAAGATAACCCTAGAGCGGCACGCAAATGATACAGATATGAGCCGGAGGTCATTTGAGTGGAAAAATTGAATGTACTTCAGTGTTATAATTTAGAATTACAGTCCTGGAAACACAACAGAGATGCTGGTGACTATGCAAATATGACAACGTAATTATTTAAACATTCTGATGTTTTCTGACTATGTGTAGAAACAGAAACTTTTGTGAAAAGTTGCTCAGATTCTTGAGGACATTTAAAGCCTAAGGATCATCATGGATCCTCCAACCCTGTGTGCCTAGACCTGGTTATTATTTAAAGGAGAACATCTACCTCTTCAAGATCCAGGAACTTGCTTGTAAAAAGTCCTGTTAGGACCCGATATGTAACAATGACCTGAAACGTTCTAAAAATAGATGTAATAAAGCCTGAAATGTAATAATTCGTCAATTATGTTATAAAGTGTTTAGCCCAAAATGTAATTTAAAAACTGAAAATGTAAAAATTGACCCAAAATCTAACAAGTTGCTTCATTTTGGGCAAAAAGATTATTACATGTTGGGCTCTGCAACTTGTTACATTATCAACTGGTTATTACATTTTGGGATTTATTAAAAAAAAAATTTATTTCATTTTGGGTCATTGTTACATATCAGACTCTAACAAGGCCTATACAGGCAAAAAACAAAAACAAAAACAAAAACAAAAAAAAATGGTTTATTGAAATCCCTCAAACCCAGCAAAGTGGTTGGACACTGAGAGAACTGCATATTGGTAAAAAAATAGACTCTAGCAGTGCAGAATAACTGGAAACTGGATAAGGAGTCATAGAAAGAGACTTATCTGCAATGTTTTAATTTAAATGTATATGATATTTGTTCTCATTGAAAATTAAAAATGTTCAAATATTAAAAAACAAACAAACCCTGGTGTAAGACACACAAAGAGACAAGAGACTACAGGTTGTACAGTTTTTATAAATTTAATATATCAATATATAGAGATATTTATCAACAGGTTGATTTCATAGAAACGTGAGTGAGACCATTTTGGCATACAGTACAGATAATCCATGTAAGTACAGAAGTTGCTAAGTTTTAATCCCTCCCACCACCCAGTCACAAACCAACCCGCCGGTTAACAACCCTTCCCTCCCGTTCGCCCTCCCACGGACACGTAACACAGAAAAAACAGAAAGAGTAAAAGTTTACAGGAGCACAAAACAAGGCACCAATAAATTAAAATTAAACCCCTCTTTTTTTAAAAAACACACGACAACAAAATCTATTGAACAGAATTAAATACAGTATGAACACTAAAAATCTGCAAGGCTGTTAAAAAGCAAAATAAAAAAGGAAAAACAAAAAGAACGGACAGGAAAGTAAAATAAAAACACTTTGGCAGATTATTAATTTTAGTTACAATCAAGTAGTAAATAAATCCAGTGCTCTTGTGTACAAATAAATTCATATATAGTCTACACTCCTTTTAACCCCAGAGGTTTATGTACATCTTTTTTTACAGATACATTTAAAACATTATCAAAAAGTTTTTGCTGTATGAAAAGGTATTTACAAGTCACGATTCAAAACCATTGGACTGTACCATTGGACCCCCCCTCCCCTTTAATTCCCCCCTCCTAAGAACGGTATCTCTTTACACAGTGCAGAAGGCTTCTTGAAAAGTTTTGTGCAACAAACAGCGTAAAAAAATGCCTGTCGTATGGCTGTGGAATGGACAGAGGCCTGAAGGGGGTTGAGATTTCCTTGACGGCGATGACACATTGGCAACATTTTGAGTGGATGCAGGTGGACAGGTTTGCGAAAACTGAGCCGAGAGTTTCGTAAATTTGTGATGATGTTCCCCGACTTCAATCACCGCATCAGTAAAATGTCAAAATCTGTGTCTGTGATGTTACTCATCAAAATATTGCCTGTGAATGTCATCATCCCAACCCATAAAATGAATTCCACACACAGATTTCACTAAGTCCCCTTAGCTGTCTTCTCCCCCCCAACCCTTCATTTTTACAATGACTGGTAGAAAAATGTAGGCGACTGAACACTGCCCTTCAAGTAATCAAACATCAAGAAGATCAAATATGAAACCGAGAACAAGTTTGGTGAGGAGAGAAAGAGAGAGAGAGAGAGAGAAACAACGACGACGACTCACAGACTAACAGTCCAAAAACACATGATAATAAGAGGAAGCAGTTTTTGAAGGAAAGTCACATGGTCAACAAGAGCTAATGTCCAGGCAGGTAGAGTCAATGAGGGCTTCTTCCACAGTCAAAACTGCAGCCGGGTGTGGGGGGTGGCGGTGGTGGTCTCTGTGGGGGGCTGCTTCTCTTGTTCGCTGGTTCACAATCGGGAGTTTTTTCAGCTCAAGGGGTTTCATGTTTGGGACTCAGAGTGAAGTCCTCCAGTGTTTTTTTTTTTCTTGCTTTCTTCCAGTGTTTGTACGTCTGTCTACCCACAAACTGATAGCCCTTGCCAAAGAAAAGATGTCAATGATGAAGAAGATGAAGATGGAAAGGCAAGAAGATGAGCCAGAGGCTTTGCTGTTTATGCTAAAATTCAGTAGTACTACATCTACGGACAGACCTCTGAGTGCTCGAGGTGAAGCAGTGGATGGATGTGAGTGAAGTTAGAGAGGAGTCAGTGTTTTCTGGTTAAAGCAGCACGAGTCAGATTCTCTGCTCAGATTGGAGACAACTGTTAAAAAAGAGGGAGAGGAAGAGAAGGACGAGTAACAGGAGCGTTAAAAACAAGGAGCACAAATCAGAGACACTACAACTACAGCATAGGATTGGATTATGGATTATTATGGCTGTTAGAATTTAATAACAAGCTAATAATGTAGCAATCAAGCTATAAAACGAATGTTATCCTGGTAGTGACCCACTCTGAGAGCATCAGGATTATTGGAACTGCTATTCTCAGTCTGAACAACAAAGAGTTCAACGACCTAACGAATCATGATATCTACTGGTCGACACAAAAGCTTCAGAAACTATCAACAAGTGTGTATATCAAAGATTAGAAACATGAAAACTTTACAAATCTGTATTATTCATATCTATGTCCAAACACTTCGTATCCTGCTGAGGTTTAGTTGAGGTTTTCTATGCAACGCACTTATGCTGTTCAACTTACAGGTGTAAAGAAGAGGATTAGGGTTACTGGAAAAAAAAGAAAATGAGGTCCAGTGTAAATATTTTTTTATAATTATTCCAAGAAAAAAGTCAGAATTACAAGAAAAAAAGTCTGAATTACTAGAAAATAGTCCAAATTCTGACTTTAATCTCAGAATTCTGACTTTTTTCCTCAGAATAATAATAAAAAAACATATATAGATTGGACCATTTTTTCCCCCAGTGTACCTAATCCTCTTCCGTACAAAACCCATTGTGCAAACTGTGGTGCTAAGTTTGCAGTTTCAGTGTGACTGAGACATTTATATTCCAGAGTAAACTGATCAACAACTACGATATCCATAAATGCCAGTCCATCTACGAAAACTTGGATTAAGTGCGATTTCAGTCAGACTGACATGTTGGTATGCATTTTAAAAGTCCAGTTTCAGCTGGACTAACTTGTTCATGTTAAAACAGTGAGAGCGTATTTTCCACTCAAACCAAATGCAGCAGTTTTTCAGTGCTCAGCATTAACGGTGCAAAAATGGCCACAATATCACAGTATCAGCTGTTTTTGTTGCTGCAATCTAAGTTGAAAATAGTTAAACTTTTGAACCTCGCCAAACTTAACAATGTCACCTCTTGATCACCGAATAATCAGATTTAAGAGGGGGCGGGGCTTCTGATATCCTCGCCATCAACAGTGACAGTGGATAGCGGAGACTTTCACAGTCTGAAGCTGCGGCTAATGCCAATAATTTTCTGCACAACACAACAAATTTAGTAAACAACCCTCAGTGTCAAACACTTTTTGATATGTCGTCACTTGAATGTGTCAAATATGTCTTTTCCCCCCTCAAGCTTTATGGATATTATCGTAGCAACATGATCTATGTCACTAAATTGTTGTAGTAACATTGAGAATAGATGACGTTATGCTTGTGTTACAGCTTATAAAAGTTTGATCTTAAAACTGCTCTTAAAAATGGCTCCAGATCAGCAGTTGGAGTCTCTGAAATTCAGTCTGAGGTTTTAAGAGTGACGTGAACTTAACGCACAACAAGCTAAAGTTTCTGCATCAGTAAAAGTAAAACTTATGCTGAAGTATGAAGTAAAATTGTGCTAGATTTTGTGGTTCACATGCAACAATGTTGTTAACACTGGAAAAGTATTACAGTAACTAAAAGTACAGATACACACAGACAGTGCTCAACTTCACCCCAATACAAGCAGCCTGTTTCCTGAAGAGTAAACTATAACCACTCTGCCATTAAAACATGAATTAGCTTCGACACAGCAGCTGAAAGTGTGGATGAAGATTCTGCTCCATATGATGAATGACTGGCGTTCCTTCCTGGACTTTCTGAACCACCTTCAGTGGAGACCACTACCCTCAAGGTGGCCTTGAGGTTGACCGGCCAATCTGTCTTCCCACTGTAGAAATAATAACTTTGCTTCAATGCCACGCTCAGCCACCTCAATAAATAAGCAATTTATTCTCCAACTCTCAGCATGGAACTCCATTAGACCTGCAGCAAATGTGGACATGAAGGAAACTATGTGGAGTACAGAGCCCACTCCATGTTTGGGGAGTTCTTTAATGTAAAATTCACAAAGATATCTGACCTGTGGCATCTTTTTTCAGCATCTTGCATCATCTTCATCCCTCTTTAAAGACTTTGCTTTAACTTTTTTGTTAACAATATGATCATATTGATTCAAACAGGCGTAATAACCCCCTGATAATATTAGAAATGACACAAGCTGATGCCAGATTGAAGCTGTGCCACTTTATACTGTTTCATGCCTGCCAATCAGAAAATCTGCCAAAAAAACCCTGCAGGAAGCAGCCAAACCTGTCCAGGATCAAGCTGTGCTGAGTCACAGTCCTCCCCACCGTGTAATGTGTTTTATTTTTCCTCATTTATTCGGGGTTAAGATGAAAGGAAAAAGAGCTTAGATATAGGGGAGAGCAGAGCTGGGGAGGAATATTTTCTACCTGTCTAAGATGCCAGTTGTCACATAGTATAAGACGTACAAATCCCCCACAGTGCATCATAAACACAGTGGGGGAGGAGAGGGCTTTTTTTCTGAGGGGGGTGAGCAGACTGAATGTCAGGGTGCTGCGATACAACATCAGCAGAACTCAAAATAAATGACCCAGCATTCATCTTCCTAGCACAAACCTGCTCGCCTAAGGTGCAGTCTAAATCCTGGCAGTCATTTCCTGCCAACCTGCGTCTCTGTCTTTCCTCTTCCCCTGTGGGTTAAGCAAGCATCCACGCTGAGTAAACCTTTTCAGGAGACAGGGAGAACCATGAATAATAACCACCATTCATCAACTGTGTGTTTTTATGCACAAACTGTCGGCATAATTAGATGGAGACATATGCTGAGCCTGTTTTGGAAGACTTTACTGTTTGCATCTGTACTTTTTTTCTGTACATTTATCAGGGTTTGGAAAAAATAAGCATGTAACACAACAGCACCTCTGAGTCCAATGATGCTGAAATGGGACTTTGTTATTCTAAAAATGGAAGACTAGTTTTGCATGAAGAGACAGATGGTTAAAAAAGTCTGCTCTCTGAGATAAAAACATTTCCATCACAGGAACCGTCACCAGGGAAAAAGGGACTTTTTGAGGTTTAACTTACAAAAACACTGCGCAGTTTACGCCCCAACACAGCAATAAAGCTGCACAAATGAGCAAAAAGACATTGCCTGATTTCCTAAGTATGCGCAAAGGGTTAAACGCTCCCTGAATTGGACTACAAATAGTGTCTCTGGGCACTGGTGATTTCTGCATTCATTTAAATGAGCCCTTAGCCATTCATTTGGAGCTGATTTTATATGCAAGCCTGGTCACAAACACCAAAACGCCAAACTGGCTTATGCAAGAGCCAAGAGTCATTCACAGTTGGACTAAAACTTTTAACATCTGCTGAAAGTGTCTGCAATGATTATGGCAACAATTTCACCTCTGCATGATGAAAAATGAATATATATACGTACATCAGGAGTTTAATCAGTCTTGGCTGTCTGTGGCTCCACACATCTGCACCAAAAAGCTGTGCTAGGACGTACGACTGAGTTTTCTTTTTTCTATCTGCTGCTTTGTTCAAGCTCGCTTAGTTAGACAAACATAGTTAGACAAACATAAACCATAAATTTGTGTTGCATCTGTCATGAACTGTCTCCACAATAAACTGCGAAGGACTTTCTCTCTCCATCCATTGAGTGCTGTCAGGATTAGAGTGTCCAGCGCAGCCCTGCACAGTTAAAGGGCAGGAAGCAAAAGGCGGAGATGTAGACTCCAAAATCAGGCAACTGGACTGTGACATAGTCCAGTCGCCTGATTTTGGAGTCTTCAAGAAAACCATGACCTAGATGAATGAGAATCTACATGGACAAAGGCGGAGATGCTGACAGCTTGTGTTTGTCGCAATGAAATGCAAAACTGGTTGTAAGAGCAAAAAGCTTCAGAACTTTGAGGGAGTGTTTGCCCATTGAAATCATTAGTCATGAACTTTTTATGAATAAGATCTTAAGATTGAGCGGAGAGCAGGGGCAAATGATATGCAATTCTTGTTGTAATTAGTGGCTGCAATCAGTTCTTAGTTAATTCACCTCAGCAGAGACCAGGATCTCAAACAAGTACAGGGGACTTTATTTTACCTGTCAGAGAACTTTGCTTTAATGACATCTGGAGTTGGAATAATCCTCCCAAACTCCTCGCAACAGTTGAAATGTTCACTTGTTGTAACTGCTCCCAGTAAATCTCTATAAAAACACATTTTAAGCAGTTATTGCCACACTCACTGGGCATGAATTCCTTCTGATTCAATGGGCTGGAAACTTGTTTGTGGCAAGCCGATGGAAGATCAGCGCTTTACGCCGCTTTACACGTTCCCTCTCTATCCAGCCTTCAAATCAAATCAGCTCTCGGCTCAGTCAGCCTCGGCTCATCTTAACGCATCTGCTCAAACAAAACAGGGCCCTTAACAACCACACTGAGCAGTCAGTGACAGCAGGAAGCCGTTCACTTCCCCACATCATCTCCTTTTAGAAAGACACGGCTACTTTGTTAGAAAGAGGGACAAAAGGAGGAGAAGTTTTTTTATGGTGAGAAACACCAAAAAGCAGGGCTGTGACGCCACTGAAATCGATGTTCATGAGGCGTTCAAGTTCCAGACACTGACGTCTATGTTCAGCAGCACTTGAAAGTCACCCACCTCAGCACGGCAGCCTGAAAACGCACGCAGAAGGACGTTTTGTAACACTTATCTGCTCCTACTCCCGAATATTTATGACAGCAGACACAAAAAGAAAGAAAAAGTCACAAATGTGTGAGTGTGACACCTACCCCACATAAACAAACAACCCTAAGTTCATTATCGACTGTAGCCATACCTCTGATACCAGGAGAGAGGATTACCCATAATCCTCTGCCTTTTCTGCACTGCTGCTTTTTGCCTTGAGGCACCACCCTCTGGTGGCACAAATCCTCCTATTCCCCTCAAAATAATAAACACACACCCTGCATCACTTTTTCACCCCAAAATCACCTCCAAACATGCTGCCAAACCCATCATTCCTTCCTGTCTGCTTTCCCCTTGGCTATATTTAGCATTGCCTCCTTACATACGATATGTCAAAGGGGTGTATTAGAGGCAAGGGTGTGAAAAAGGATGACAGTCACCCCTGTTTTAAAAATATCAGTCCTGACAAGTTAAGATGTAAAGAGAACCAGGAAGATAAATTAAGTCCTCTGCTGCCACTGAGTATCCTTGGGAGGAAATTGGCCTTTTGTGCTTCTGAGAGACACTTTAACTACTGTAAACACAAACAAATAAATAAAATGTCAAAATTTCAAGGATTAGAAATAATGTTTTCCAGCTCTTTCATGTACATCAGCTGAACAGCCTATTATTTACAACAGGGATGGAACGGTTCACTCAACTTGTGGTGCGATAAATGGTGTAGTTTTGAAGTGGATGAATAACTCAGTTTATGTTCATGTTTGAGAGTAGAGTTTAACTCGCAACTATCACAGATGAGGCGTTTCTTTAGCCTCTTTCTCTGCCTTAAAAACCTGGGCCACTTTATTTGCCATTTTGTAAAAAAAACATGCTTTTATTTTGAAAGGGCACAAAGATACCTACACTTTATCTTAAAGGTACAGTGTGTATAATTGATACATTTTTACAAGTATATAGCAGTCATATTCTAGACTAGTTGCTCCCTTGCTCACCACACTTGTTAGTGAAGTTACGGTGGCCTTTGAGGACAAGAAGCTCATTTGATATGTAATAGATTTGATCCTCATTTATCTGGTTTTTACCATTAAACCGTTGATCAATTCAAATTTCCAGTGACCACTCTCGTACTGTAGAAACATGTCTGTACTAAAAATGAGGCAGGTCCCCCAATGAAGGCCTCATCTTGAGGAGTTCTATATTCAGGTGATTATACACTCATTTAAAGGTACGGTACTTATGAATATTATACTCCATTTTCACATGCATGTGCATGTTTGGCTAAGTGCCACTAAGTACCACACACTGCACCTATAAATTTATGCAACGGTAAAGGCAAGGTAAGCCAAAGCAACTGCATTTGAAGTAAAGATGAAAATTGAGCGCTATAAATAAAAACAGAATGATATTAAAGTCACTGTGAGGAGTTTTTGACGAGTTGTGAAATAGGTTGAAATTTATAGTGATGCTAACAAAATCATCTGCAATAATGATTTACATATTTGACTGTAAAAATAAAGTAGGATGAGACTTTTACACTAACTGGTCTCGTCTATGTGCAGGAAACCTTTGAAACGTTAACTGCAAAATCTCCATGTACTGCTTCTATGTTTGCACCATCACCCCTCCTCTGACCAGACTCATGAGGTACCGTTACATCCCTGATCGACAATGTTCAGCCAAAATGAGGTTAGTTCAAACAAAAAATTCATCAAGCAGCATTTCATACACCTCTACAGCTACAACAGGAGGCAGAGGAAAGAGAGGAGTGAAGCAGGGACTACGAACTAACTCGCACTAAGAGAAGTAGTAGTGGCTAGTAGTGGTAGTAATGTTGAGTAGGTAGAAGAGGAAAAGGGGACATAGGTATTACATGTCATCCCTGCTCCTTAAAAAGGGGAAGGAGGCTTCTCTTTCTCCTCTGCGTTGTACTGGCCTCATTGTAGTGCTGTGGTGAGAGGAGGAGGAGGAGGAGGGGCCAGGATGGGATTGGGAGGGGGGCGTGGGGGGGTGGTAGGAAGGATACATCCCCCCCTCAGGGATAGCCATCATCCTCCAGACTGAGTGCCACGCGCTGCAAACAGCAGATAAAAAGACTGTTACCACAGAAGGCTGGTGAAGGAGAGAGAGAGAGGAAAAAAGAAGTAAGAAGGCAGAGAGATGGACAGAGGACAAAACTGGAATCAGGAGGAGATTTGAGACTAGATGGCACTCAAAAGAGAGATTGCAGGTTCATAGTGAATTCATTCATCCTTTCCTTTCTCCCCCTGACCTTCCTTTTCTCCTTTTTCCAACCCCCTCCTGTTTATTCCCTCTTTTCTGGCTGCCTATATGCGAGGAATGCAGGATGCTTGCCTACGGCTTTAAATGTCTGGCCCACATAATGCCAGTCTGATTTCTCTGGCTGTCTGAGTTGCCACATTGCCTTGAAAAAAAAAAAGGGAAGAGAACATGATGAAAAGAAGAGGGAAGAAAAGAGGAGGTCAGAAAAAGACAAGAAATCAAAGAATTAAAGGACAATAAAAGGGCAGATGTAAATAATAAACCTGCAAGACGAGGCAGAGGGAGTAAAGTTCCCTTGCTGAAGCCCTTCACTGAGGGTGGTTGCTAATTCGACCTTGAATCTTAATATGACTCAGTTGTGCACCTGTTTCATGTGTGCGTGTGTGTGTGTGCGTTTGGGTGTGTGCGTCTCCAGCCTGTCACCATGCCAATGATACCCAGAATTCTTTGCCTCTTTTCCTCTCTGGAGCAACACAAAGAAATCTGTGTTGCCATGCCAACCGATCAAAGCGCTAGACTCCCCCCCCCCTTGTTATAATCCCTTTTGGCCGTCCTTCCCTGCTCGCTTCCCGATACCTAACACAACAAATATATTCAATAAATGTCAAGAGTGTCGGGGGGACGACACACTCTGTGTTGTCTTGAAGTGAATCTGAGTTTAAATCACAGCTGGTACAGTTTTCAGAGTCTGGAGGAAATACAGCTTTATGAACAGAAAGTGTTTCCTCATCAACAGGGTGGATTCATGGTTTCTGCTCTTAAGATTGAAGACTTGAAATTCATTTTGGACTGTCATTGGTTCTGATTTGTGCTCCCATTTTAACGCGCAAGCTTATACAAACTAATCAAAACAAAGTTCAGGCAACGGAACTCCTGAAACTTCAGAAAGTTTAAAGTTTTCAACTGCGCACACAAGATCAAACTAGTGCCCTGAATATAAAGTCATCTTGTACGTACAAGTTATCTTGTAAGTGAGACAAGGTAAGTATTTTGTGCACACAATGCAGTTTTATGGTTTGCTACTCTGAGATATTAATGTGCACAAGATATAACTCTGGAGCACAAGATAATGACTTGTTGCGTCAGATATTTACTTTTTTCCACAAGACAAATATATCATATGCACAACATAACTGACTCGTTCCCACAAGATAGAAACTTGAGCCAACAAGTGAATTATCTTGTGAGTAGAGTATAATTAATTTATGTAAAAAAAAAAAAAAAAGTTATTAATTATCTTGATAGGACAAGTAGTGATCTTGTGTACAAGTGAATTTCATGTGGGGACAAGTGAAAAGTCATTATCTTGAGAAAAAAGTTAACAATCTTGTTGTACAAGAAAGTTACTGTACTGAAACAAGCTATCTTGCGCACATTTTTTTGTTATCAGTATATGTGCCCACAAGATAGTTAGTATGTATGTGCAAATTAATTATAAAAGATCGTTTATCTACTGTGTTCGCAAGATGGCGGTATTGTGCACAAAAGATTGTAAATTGTCTCCGTGGAAAACGTTATTGTGCGCACAAGATTTTATCCTCCGCCCACAAAATAACAAAATCACTTATTGCTCAGAATAATTATCTTGTTCCCACAAGATAATAACTTGTGCAGAGAAGTTACTTGTTCTTGTGGAAACAAATAACAATCTTGCGCCTGCAGGAAAATAATATAAATGTGTGCCACTTAACCACTCGGCCAAACTCCAGCCTTGCGATCTCGTCTTTTTAATCACTCCAGCCTCACTGTCCCTCTGACGTCTCATGAACCCTTAACTTTGCTGCAAAGATTTATTGCAGAAACATCCACT